ACCTACCCTACCACACACCCACCCTTCCTTCCACCCACCCACACCCACAACACAACACTCAGACGTAAACACAACTCATCCACCTACCATGTAAATCAACACCTGTTTTATCATCCACCACAAGACACCATACATCATTACTTAATACACTGGAGAGACTATATGTACTGTACTCTGATAATATTCACTGGTTTGGTAAGGACGGGGCTTGAGAGGGAGGAGTGGGGAAGGGAAGAGGAAGGGAAGGAGGGGAAGGGAAGGGTGGGGGAAGGAAGGAAGGAGTGAGGAAGGGGAAGGGGATGTATTTGTCAACTTGGTAATATTTGTCTCCCTCTCTCCCTCCCACTCTCTTTTCCTCTCTGTATTTCCTTCTCTCCTTCTTTTCTTCCCCCAATTTAGTTCATTTTTATTTCTATCCCTTCCCTCTTAACCTGTTTCCCATTCTCCTATCCTCTCTCCCTCCCTTCTATCCCTTCCTGCCTCCTTTCTTCCTTACTTTCCTCTCTCTCTCCCCTCCCTTCCTTCCTTCCTTCTTCCGCCTCTTCCTCCCTTCCTCCTCCCACCTCCCTCAGGTAGGTAAAGTTCTACGCTGGTCCTGGGATTAATTTATCGCTAGTGTGTGTGTGTGTCTGTGTCTGTGTCTGTGTGTGTGTGTGTGTGTGTGTGTGTGTGTGGTGGTGTGTGTGTGTGTGTGTGTGTGTGTGTGTGTGTGTGTGTGTGTGTGGCCTCCTGACCCCTGGAGGCCTATATACCTCTTCCCTCCTCCCTACCTCCACCACCTCTACCACCCTCACTCTGGATTGTCCAGAGTTTTTTTTTTTTTTCGGGGGAAAGGAAGCGTATCTTTCTTTCTCTGAGTTTGAGAGAGAGAGAGAGAGAGAGAAAGTTGCCGTTAACACCACCTGTCTTTCAAAAAAATTCTCCTAGCTGACCGGACATTTAATCGAAATCACTAAATAAATCCCATCAGAGGATAGCACACACACACACACACACACACACACACACACACACACACACACACACACACACACACGTACGTCCTCACCTCAAGACATGAATCACAGAACACGTTTCACCGTCACCTGGCTGGTTGGCTCAGAGGTAATCACAGGTAACTCATTAACGTCAGCCTTAATCTAGAATAATGACATCTATGAAATACACCAAAGTGACGTTCGTAAATCATCATAAACATGTATAAACTATATCACTTTTGCGTATCAGCTGTTTTATTATTATCTGACTTAAAAGACAGACAGACTAAGAGAAACAAAGAAAATAGGTCCAACAGAAGCATCACTCGTGGGTAACTATATAATTAACTCATGTTGTTCAACCAATTAAAACGTTGAAACATCACCCTATAAAACAATTATACGATGACGTCACGCCATCCCTAGCAACGCGCGCCGCCTTGATGGTTGAGGGTAAACAAACGCCTAGCAAGAAGGACCAAAACAAACCTCTTGATCGTGATGGAATTAAGACACTGATCTTGTAGAGTCGCTGAAACAAGACCATTGAATATAGAGTATCGATAGCTTGTTGATCTAACACGTGAAGAGTCTCCACCTCAATTATCTCACCTGAAGATTAACCACCCTAACACTATTTAAGGAAATGGAGTTAAGTTAGGCTAGGTTAGTGTTAGGTTAAGTTAGTGTTAGGTTAGGGTAGGTTAGTGTTAGGTTAGGTTAAGATTTTTTAAGATTAGGGTGGTTAAACTTTAGGTGAAATGATCTGAGGTAGAGATTTTTCAGGTGATTCGATTTAAGTACTAATTATTAACAAAAGTTGAGGTGCCTTGGAGTGAAATGTTGCAGTTGTTAGCTACCAGACGACAGCAGGAGGGAGAACATAAGAACATAAGGAGTCTGCAATAGGCCGGTTGGCCTGTGCATGGCAGCTCCTGTCGAGAGTTACTACCACTCTCGTCCATGAATCTATCCAATCTCCTTTTAAACCTTTCCAGCATTCCAGCACTTACTGCAAAGTTGCTAAGCTTGTTCCACTCGTCCACCACCTTATTTGTGAACCAGTTCCTTCCTATCTCCCTCCTAAACCTAAACTTATCCAACTTAAATCCGTTGCTTCGAGTCCTATCCTGCTCGGATATTATAAGAACTTTATCTATATTCCCTTTATTGATTCCTTTCACCCACTTAAATACTTTTATCATATCTCCCCGCACTCTTCGTCTTTCTAGGGAATGCAAGTTTAGTTTCTTTAACCTATCCTGATATTGAAGGTTTCTAAGTCCCGGAATCATTTTCGTAATTCTTCGCTGCACCGACTTCAGTGAATTGACATCCATTCTATAATAAGGGCACCAGAGCTGAACCGCATAATCGAGGTGCGGCCTGACTAGCGCAAGATATAGTTGCAATAAGACCTCTGCACTCTTATTACTTACACTTCTAGATATAAAACCCAATACTCTGTTTGCCTTATTTCGAACATTAACGCACTGTTTTCTAGGCCGTAGGTCCGGGCTTACAAGTACCCCTAGGTCTCTTTCACAAGTCGACTTCTCTAGGTTGATGTTAAGGCTGTATACATTGCCAGTATTTGTTCTTCCAATATTTAGTACGCTGCACTTGCTGGTGTTGAATTCCATTTGCCATTTTTCAGACCACCCCTGCAGTTTATTTAGATCCTCCTGTAATGCATTTGCGTCCTGCCCTAAATTAATGTGCCGCCCTATTTTGGTGTCATCCGCAAACTTGCTTATGTCACTGCTGATCCAGTATCTAGATCGTTTATGTAGATTATGAACAAGAGTGGGCCTAGTACTGACCCCTGGGGAACCCCACTCAGATTTAACACCATCTATGCTGACCCTCTGCGTTCTATCAGTGAGCCATGATTTTATCCAATTTAAAGCTTTCCCCTCGATACCATGAGCCCTAATTTTTCTCAGAAGCCTCTGATGCGGTACTCTGTCAAATGCTTTGCTAAAGTCTAAGTAAATAACATCGTAATTTTCATCATTATCTACTACCTCGAAGACTTTCCTAAAAAACGTCAGCAGATTTGTTAGACACGATTTTCCCTTTGTAAAGCCATGTTGAGAGTCGTAGATTAATTTGCTTTTCTCTAAATGCGATCGGATGCTATCTGCTATAATTTATTCAAGAAATTTCCCCACTACTGACATCAAACTGATCGGCCGGTAATTTGACGCTGATGCTCTGTCTCCCTTTTTGAATATGGGTACTACATTTGCCTGTTTCCACAAGTCTGGCACAACTCCAGTGTTTAATGATTTTGTAAATAAATTTACGTGGGGTCCGCTAATCTGTTCCCTACACTCTTTCAAGATTCGAGGGAAAATTTCATCTGGCCCTGGGGATTTTGTCTTCTTTAGTTTATTTATCCTCTTAAGAACATCCTCTTTTCTGATAGTGATATTCATGAATTTCTCTTCTTCCTTTCCCCTAAATATCGGTTCCACCTCTGGAATTTCCTCGCGAATTTCTTCTGTGAAAACTGATAAGAAGTAGCTGTTCAATGCCTTGCTTATTTCATCACTGCCATTTATCACTTCTCCCCTCCCTGACTTTAAAGGCCCAACTTTGTCCGTGACCTTTGTTCTATATACCTGGAAAAATCCCTTGGGATCCGCCTTGGATTCTCTTGCTATTTTGATTTCATAGTCTCTCTTTGCTTTCCTTACATTTTTCTTAACATTCCTAGATAGTTCATTATACCTATTTCTGAGCTGCTCCTCCCCTCCCTTTAATTTCTTATATATTCCTTTCTTTATTCCTATGTCATGTTTAAGTTTTCTGGTCATCCACCTTGGCTCATTCTTATTTGACCTAATTTTTCTGTATGGTATATTTTGTTCTTGTGCTTTATGTAGTATACTAGTGAGGGAGGGATTTACCTGTCCGTGTGGCCCGAAGCAGAGGTGGTGTCATATACTATATCCTAATTAACACACCTGGGGCACTCAAGGGGAGATCGTTGATAAAATTGTGGAGGTTCATTATTTTTATGTGAATTTGATATTTGAAGACACACACACACACACACACACGCACACACACTCTCCACCCTTACCCAAACACATACAAAGATATACACACACACACACACACACACACACACACACACACACACACACACAATTCCTGGTTCGTTATCATACTTAATATAAAACTCTGGTCAGTAACCCCAAAATTTTTCGTGTTCCATAATTTGGTGAGGTAAAATTATCACGCGGGTCTTGGTTGTTTACCTGTAGGGAAGGTGTGACAGGCAGACACGCGTACTATGTGTGGCGCTTATTGACTCTCGGGGTTGGAAGCCTAACCTAACCTAACCTAACCTAACTTAACTGTGGGTATGAAACATTTAGAACAAAAAAGAAAACAACTTGATGTATGGTCACAATAAATGGATATGGTCCACCTTTAAAACTATCGGAATGTGTCCGACTAAAACTGGCCGCTGAGGCTGGGAAGGAGAGGAGGGAGGAGAGGTTGGTGTTAAGGGAGAGGAGGAAGGGAAGTAAACTGGAGAGAAAGGGGAGAAACGTTGATGTTAGAGGAGATGAAAGGAATAGATGGAATGGGAGGAGGAAGGAAAGGAAGAAGAGATAGAGGGAGAGTGATTGTTGTTAAAGGAGAGGGAAGAGAGAAGACGAGAGGAGGAGCTCAGAAGAAAAGGAACGGGAGAAGAAGGAAGGAAGGAAAAGAAAATAGGGACGTAGACAATAACTGGAGATAAAGACACAAAGGGAAGAAGAAGAGACACAGGAGAGTGGTGACAAAGAAGAGATGAGAAACAAGAAAAAACAAAAAAATAGTGGTACATAAAGCTGCCTCCTGCACCAAAACAAAACAAAATGGACTCCCTTACAAGCTATTACATTTAAAACTACTTAGGCTGAGTTCTTGTGAGGGGTCCCCATACGCCTTTATTATGCGTAATTTGAATCAAATCTGTGCAGGGTTCTTGAAGGGGGAAGGTAACGCAGGATCAAAGGCGTATCAGAGGGATGGAGAAAAAGTGAATTTGTGGAGGATACGAGGTGGTGCCTTAGCTGTGGTGGAGAGGCCAGGTGGTTCCTTATCTGTGGTGGAGAGGCCAGGTGGTTCCTTAGCTGTGGTGAAGAGGTCACTTGGTGCTCTAGTTGTGGTAGAGAGGCCAGGTGGTGCCTTAGCTGTGGTGGAGAGGCCAGGTGGTTCCTTATCTGTGGTGGAGAGGCCAGGTGGTTCCTTAGCTGTGGTGGAGAAGGCCAGGTGGTTCCTTGGCTTAGCTGTGGTGAAGAGGTCACTTGGTGCTCTAGTTGTGGTAGAGAGGCCAGGTGGTTCCTTAGCTGTGGTGGAGAGGTCACTTGGTGCTCTAGTTGTGGTAGAGAGGCCAGGTGGTGCCTTAGCTGTGGTGGAGATGTCAGATGGTTCCTTATCTGTGGTGGAGAGGCCAGGTAGTGCCTTAGCTGTGGTGGAGAGACTAGATGGTGCCTTAGCTGTGGTGGAGACGCCAGGTGGTACCTTAGCTGTGGTAGAGAGGCCAGGTGGTGCCTTAGCTGTGGTGGAGACGCCAGGTGGTACCTTAGCTGTGGTAGATAGGCCAGTTGTGTACGAGATCCCCTCTGAATTGAATAAAATCGTCTGTTGTTAAGTAAATTAATTAAAAATAAAAAAAGTGACGTCCCCGTAGTGAAGAGAGGTACACACACACACACACACACACACACACACACACACACACACACACACACACACACACACACTTGACTGAGCATTCATCACAACTAAGGTATAAAACGCTATTCACATGTAACTTGTAAGATTTATTTTCTCTTTCTTCCAGTCTATTTCTGTTTCTCATCCTCCTTTACCTCTCTCTCTCTCTCTCTCTCTCTCTCTCTCTCTCTCTCTCTCTCTCTCTCAGAATATTTGTATTTATTTTTTCTTTTTCTGTCTCTTTATTTTTCTGCTTATATCTTTCTGTCTCTTATTTCTCTTCCTGTCTGTTTCTCTCTCTCTCTCTCTTTGTTTCTCCCCACAGGTAAGAAGAAGAACAACAACAACAACAACAACACCTACCACCACCACCACCACCACACCACCACCACCACCCACCACACCACCACCACCAACAACAACAACAACACCAACAACACCACACCACCACCACCACCACCACCACCACCACCACCACCACCACCACCACCACCACCACCACCAACAACACCACCAACAACACACCACCACCACCACCACCACCACCACCGTCAGGAAGGGGTTGGCGTGCCTGACGACGACTACTAACCAGCAGTGAGTGGCCGGGCTGCTCTCCTTGACTCACCTGCCTCCTAAATACTCATTACAACTTGGTGCTTCTCCTGCTGAGCCATTCTCTTGCCCCTCGACCAGCTGACCTCACTACAACCTCCTCCTCCTCGACCAGCTGACCTCACTACAACCTCCTTCTCTTCGACCAGCTGACCTCCTTTCACAACCTCCTCCTCCTCGACCAGCTGACCTCCTACAACCTCCTTCTCTTCGACCAGCTGACCTCCCACTACAACCTCCCTCCTCCTCGACCAGCTGACCTCCACTACAACCTCCTCCTCCTCGACCAGCTGATCTCACTACAACCTCCTCCTCCTCGACCAGCTGACCTCCACAGCAACCTCCTCCTTCTCGACCATCTGGCCTCACTACAGCCTCCTCACCCTCTGACCAGCCCCCGGCCTCCTACAACCTCCTCCTCCTCGACCAGCTGACCTCACTACAACCTCCTCCTCCTCGACCAGCTGACCTCACTACAACCTCCTCCTCCTCGACCAGCTGACCTCACTACAACCTCCTCCTCCTCGACCAGCTGACCTCACTACAACCTCCTCCTCCTCGACCAGCTGACCTCACTACAATAACAATCACCTCTTATTATTTCCCCATCATACAGGTAAGGTAACTCATTCATTCCCCTGTATGTTATTTTTTCCCTTAGTCTTCGGCTCCATCAGTCTCCCTATTGTTCTCTGGCTGTCAACTGGGGTCATCACTGTACTGGGGGAAAAATATTGAAGGCTTCCTGTAAGGTGAGGAGAAGAGGCGGGTGTACGTGGGTCTCTCTCTCTCTCTGTCTCTGTCTCTAAGTCTCTCTGTCTCTCTTTCTCGAGTTCTCTTTATCTCTCCTTAATACTCTCACACACACACACTCTTTATCTCCCCACCGTCTCTCTCACACTCACTTTCTAGGGCAGTAAAATCCTTCTGGACATTGACCAGATTCAGCCACTTGGTTACTGTGGTGGTTAAGGTGATTTAGCCTTATCCTAACACCTTTACCTTCTGCAGGAGGAAGACGTCGTGTTGTAGATGTCCTTAACGCTTCCCGTCCTGCTCCTACTCTTTCATCATCTACCTCCCTTAGTCTCGTTCTTCTTCTTATTTTGTTATTTCTTATTCTTTCTTCTTCTTCTTATAGTTCTTTTCCTCTTCCTCCTTCTCCACCTTCACCTGTTTCTTTTCTTCTTCTTCTTCTTCTTCATCTTCTTCTTCTTCTGTTAATCCCTTTCCTCTTCCTCGTCTACTGCTCCTCTCCCTCTTCCTCTTTTATTCTTCTGTTACTACTCTTCCTTCTTGTCCCTCTTCCGTTCCTTCTCTTCCTAAATATGACTGGACGTGTTAACGACTCCCTGACCTTCCGCTAGGGGGCTGCCAGGCTGCGTTGGAGACCCTCGTTCATCACCAGGTAAAATAGGTGACGCATCTCTCTCTCTCCAAAGACGTAACATACTGTAGCTCTCACCACCAAACACACAAGACAGACAGACTAACTCTCCTCGAACACACAGACACACACACACACACACACTCCCCCGTCCCTCCATCTCCCTCTCTCTTCCTCCCTCTCTCTTCCTCCCTCTCTCTCCCCCTCTTTCTCCCTCTCTCTCACTCACCAGAAGGAAGATAAGAGCCTCTCATCATCCCATCTCTCACTTGCGCCAACTTTTTTCATGGTCAGTTTATATATTTTAGTTTGGATTCATTTCAGGACTCGACTGGTAACATTGTGGAGAGGATTTGCATTTTTAATTTAGGTCATTTCAGCTTTATTGCAAGACTGTACCTAATTTACATACTTTTTTTTGTTTTTTTTCCCAAGCTTCCAATATCTTTTTTTTTTGGGGAGGAGGGGGGGTGGAGGAGGGGTGGGAATTGCAACTCAGAGTGATTTATACTTTTAGTTTAGCTCATTTTTCGCTTCGTTTGAACTGTAGTTAATTTACCAGTTATATTTCGATCATTTTAACTTTATTATTTTTAACTCTGTGGTTAATTTATCAGTTATAACTTAGTTCATTTTTTCGCTTCTCTGTAACATTGTGGAAACGAAAAAAAAAACACGATGGGTTATTTTCCTCCTGAAGATCATGAGTATTTTTATTGTTACAAGACGGATGAGGTTGGTGACCTGTCTCTTCAGCGGCGCCACAACACTACCCAAGGCGCCATAACTCTCCCACAAGTGACCACTGACGACGATGATTATAGTGGAACTCGTCTGAGATCCTGGGAAGGAGTGATTGATACTGCTGGGATTGGTTGGTCGAGGAAGAAAAAAAAAACATTGGATGGACTGACTGATGGTCGACAAGGATTTATTCCGATGTTCAACTGCCAAGATGTCTTCAGGATGGCTCTTTCCTAATCTTAAATTGGCTTCAAGTGGCCCCATGTCTCTCTTAAGTTAGCTTCAAGTGGCCCCCTCCCCCTCTTAAGTCAGCTTCAAGTGGTCCCATACCTCTCTCAAGTCAGCTTCAAGTGGCCCCCCTGTCAGCTTCTCTATGGTCCCATACCCTCTCTGCTTCAAGTGGCCCCCTTCCTTAAGTCAGCTTCATGGTCCCATACCTCTCAAGTCATTTCAAGGGCCCTCTTAAGTCAGTTTAAGTGGTCCCATACCCTCAAGTCAACAGGTTCCCTTCCCTCCTCCTTCAAGCTGAAGTGATATCCTCTCAAATCGGCTTCAGGTGGTCTCTTTCCTCCAGTTCTCCCTCCTCCCCTCACTCCCTCCAACCTCCATGACTTGAGGTGGGTTGAGGGTCCACAGATGAACGTACCAAACATCGGTTCTCCCATCCTGATTCCTCCCGCCTCCCTTAAAGGCCAAAGGTAATTCCAGATAAATTAAGACTGTCTTGGGTCGGGGATTTGTGGCCCAGAGTAAGGAATGTGATCGCATTTTTACGCCTCCGCTTTCCATAAAACAAAAACTTTTTAGCTTTGTGCATGTTGAAGGTGGAGGGTGGGATGATGGAGGCCGGGGGGGGGGTGGAGGTGGTGGTGGAGAGAATAGGATTAGGTGGAGGATGGGAGTCAGGGGGTGGAGATGGAGGTGGAAGGTGGAAGAAAAGGTCGGAAAGTGGAGGTTGAGGTGGAAGGTGAGGGTAGAGGTGGAAGGTGAGGGTAGAGGTGGAAGGTGAGGGTGTAGGTGGAGGATGAGAGGTGGTGGTGGAGTGTGGAAGATGGGAATGAAGGTGGGAGGTGGAGAATGAGAGTGGAGGATAAGAGTGAGAGGTGGAGGGTGGCTGTGGTAGGGATGGAAGTGAGAGGATGGAAGGAAAAAGTAGAGATGGTAGGTGGGATAATGGGGGGTTGGGGGGGAGGGGAGATGGAATATGGAGGAAATTTCTGGACGTTTTGAATTGTTTGGGTGATTTTTTTCTTCCCGCAGCATGAGGTTGGTGTTGTTATGACCAGCCACAGTGTGTTTCAGACAACAGAAACTTCGACTTTAATTTCTACATCTCTTTCAAAACATGACGGACGGATAATTAACTTTTATTTCAGAATCACATTTTCTTTCAAAACAAAAACAAAAAATGACAAGGAAAATGGAAAACAGGATTTAGTTTTCCATATCCTGGTGTTTTTGTTTAATACGCTGTTGTTGTGTTTACTGTAAACTTCCCCTGTTTTTTCTTTTCTTTACTGAGCTGTTTTTATGAGTACTCTGATTTTATTTTGTTTTATTTAGTCTAATCAAATTAATAAGTATTGGCTTACTCCACTAGTGCTGATGATAGACTGATTCCCGTTTTCTTCTTCTGTTCGCTTTTATCTCTAACTAAATCAATATTATAACTTCTTTTATCTAATGAAACTATTGCACCTTTTGGCTATTTTTTCCAAGTAAGGCAACATCCCGAAATAAGGAATAATACCGGTAATAATAAAAATAGTAATAACATCTATTCAATAAAATCATTGTACAAGTTTCTAATTGGTTTGAATTGGATGTAGACAATGCAGGTATACAGTTTCCTATGTATTCCTAGACAGTGCAGAAGGTATACAAGAAAAGTAAACAGTATGGTAATTCAACCAAGGTTAGCCGACAAAAACAGATTCTGAATTTATTACAACACTGCAGCGTCAACATGTTAACAAGTGGCCGGGTTTCACTGCTTTATAATTTTTGAGAACCATCGAACGCGGCCACCTAAATGGTAACTGAGTCAGCGAGTGTAAAAAAAAAAAAAAAAAAAATCAGCATTTTGTCAGAGTTTGAGAGTAAAATAATAATATCCTGAATAACTTTAATTAATAGGGAAAATATTAATGAAGATGATACTTCTATTACTACTACTACTACAACTACTACTAATAATAATAATATCATCTAACGAAACACCGCAAAAAGGACACATTTGGCTGGACACATCACACGACACAGCATCAAGGGGAGGGCAATCAAGAGGTAGGGGAAGCAAGAGGCAGTCCACAGGCAGTTTTAAATTAAATTGAATTAGCAAGAGTGAAGTGTGAGCGAGTTACCTCAGGCGTCTCGAGAATAAGAGATTTACTGGGACGAATATGAGATTATGAACCTGACGTCTCGTTGGTGTTCGGGTCAAGTCCTCTGAGCTCTCCTCTGAAATATAACTAAACTGCTTCGAAATTTGTTGATACCGATAGACTGGCTGGCTGACTGACTGACTGAGTGGCTGACTGACTGACCGGCTGGCTGACTGTGTTAATATCGGTCCAATACCTACCCTAAGTTTTGTTGGTAAAATCTTGGGTCTTGGGTAAACAGATGATCGTCTTAGAGGGTTCAAGAAACAGTTCCGATGCGCACGAAGCTTCGATAACTGAATTCGGTTGAAGGATCGTGTGTGTGTGTGTGTGTGTGGTGAAGTTCGTCCATCCGAGGTGCTCAAACTTTTTTTTTTTTGGTCAGAGCAACATGAACAGCGACCAGTGGAGAAATGTCTTTTGTTTTTTCGTTCGTTGATTTTTTTGTGGTTGTTGGGAAGAAAAAAAAAAGCTTCCCTGACCTTTGAAGAGAGAAACAATGTGTATATACTCGTATGTGCACCGTAAATTTACACACACACACACACACACACACACAAGGAAACAATTACATAAACCAAATCGCATCACAGCTACCGATCAAAATGGACCGCGACAGAGATAAATAAAACAAAAATGTAAAGAAAAAAGTGAAAAACGGAAAGAGAAATGAATAGAGAAAAGAATAAAAAGTATATATATAGAGATTCAGAGGTACAGTATAGGTCAGTGGGGACACATCTTTCCTCCCTTGGTTGGGACCCCGATTGTTTTGACCTGATGCAACTGTGTGTGTGTGTGTGTTTGTGAAATTGTGTATGTAGGTGTTGTATATGTGCGTATATGTGTGTATGTATGTAGGTATGTATATTGTACTGTATATTCCAGCATATCAGTTTATGTGTGTTCAATTGTGTATGTAATATATTTAACATACATACACATACAGACAGGCATACAAACAGACAGTAGGCAGGCAGAAAGACAGGCATACATACATACATACATACTGACAGACATACAAACAGACAGACAGCCATGGTAGGTACCTGTGGTGTTAGTATCAGAAATACATAATTTATATTACACATAAATATGTAACACAATATGTATGATATCATTTTAACCTTCAACTAAAATTTAAAATTAACACATTGAGATTAACGATTCATGTCCTTGTCTATCGCTCTCTGTCTGTCTGTCTCTGTCCATCCGTCTATCTGTCTGTCTATCTGTCTGTATGTGGTTAAATCAATATTATTGTTCATGTAACTGCTGTCAAAGCCTCAATCCTATAATGCATCTGTCTGTTAATACAATGTGTCTGTCTGTCTGTCTGTCTGTCTGTCTACTATCTGTTTCAACTGTCTGTTAAAATCACCAATATGTTAATTCCACACACTGTCAGGGTAACGGTACTGCGACCTGTCTGTCTGTGTCTTGTGTGTCAGATGAACAAGACTGTGTATTACGTAAGGTAGGGTCTGTGTAGGGGACTGTAGGGGGCACTGTAGGGGGCAGGGTAGGGACTGGGGGCAGGGTAGGGACGTGTAGGGGCAGGGTAGGGACTGTAGGGGGCAGGGTAGGGACTGTAGGGGGGCAGGGTAGGGACTGTAGTGGGCAGAATTTGAAAATTTGAACGAGCAACCGTTATGATGTCTTTATGCCAGACGTACGACTAAAGGCTGTTTAGAGAAATTATACAACCATGTGAGTTTTCAAATATGATTTCGAGGTCTGTGAATCATGGGGAGTTTCATTCGGGTGTCTATACCCGCTTTAATGGCATATATCCAATTTTTTTAGACATTTATTCACAGATGGTATGAGCTCTTTTCCAGAGGTTATTGGATGTTGCCGCGCGCCTGCGTCACAGGCCAAAGACTCGTACGAAAGCTATTGAATTAACAGTGCGCCGCAAGGCCGGAATGAGCGCTATCTAATGGCAAGGCTCCAACTAAAATCTCACTCCAAGGGATTGAATTGTAATGAAACAGTTTATTTAGCCAGAAAAACAAAGATACAGTGTGGATAATAATAACAATATTAACATGGCTGAGACAGTTGAGAACCTGAGCTCTCCTGGAGGCAAGGGGGGGGGGGGTCAATCTCAAACTCCACCATTGCTTCTTCTGTTATTAATAGTTATTATTTTTATTA